TGTGTGTGTGTGTGTGCGTGCGGGTGCGTGTGTGTGCGGGTGTGCTTGGGTGCATGTATGCAGGCAGGCAGATAGATACATGAATCTATGTAATATTTGTATCTAGTTGTACTACATGTATATACATACACATGTACATCTATGTATACATGTCTATATGAAATAAATGCCTACTGTACGTTTCGCAAAACTGATGGGTGGGTGGCAATGCACATACGCATGCGATATCTATGTCTAAATGTCTATGTGAAAGAGAATGCCTACGTTTTGCAAATCTGTGAGTGGGTGGCAATGTCGGAGTTGTCTCCACTTGTCTCCCGCTTTTTCTCTTTACTTAAGATGGGTGGCCGATGCCCCTGGAAACAGGCAGTGCACTCTGGGGTCTTCGGTGGTGGAATTTTTAGTCTGAGTACACAGACACAGGCATGCATGCATGCCTGCATGCAAGCATAATCAAGCATACTCGTACCTACAGGCGTGCGCATACCCGAGACGCCAATACCGAATCCCAAACGCAAACATGGCACATGCGGAGCACCAACAAGGAACATAGAGAGAGACCTTGATCCCTACTCCCCTTAGAACCTATAAAGACAAGCAGGACGAAAACTTGTGGGAGATCCCTAGAAAAAAGCCAAGAACGGTTTCGGGTTTAGGGCTTCGGGTGGAGGGCTTAGGCTTAGAATCAAAAATGCACAAAACCAACAACACACCCAAGCGACTTTAAAGTACTAGAAGCTCCTATTACAAGCTCTACTATAGAGGCCTGAATTGTCAGCAATACCATTCCTTAGGGTTCCTTGAGCAAAGAAGCAGACCAAACTATGATATATATATATATATAGAGAGAGAGAGAGAGCGAGGGCCAAGCAAGAGAAACAGATACGCCGAGACGCAGATGGTTCGCTCGGAAGTTTATCGGGGCACATGATCATAACACAAGTCGGGTTTGCATCCAGGGTGTTCGGGTTCAGATCTGGCAGCACTTGCCAAACGGCTCAGCGCAGGCGTTCGACTTCGTGGATGCGCTGAGGACTGGCAACTGTCCACAACTGCACCTTAGGCTCTCTGCAGATACCTCAAATCACCCCAGCACTCGAGAACACCCCTGAGCAAAGCAATGCTCCAGCCTGCCGCTAAAGTGTTCATCTGGGGTGTCTGATTCTTCGGAGCCACTGCCTTGTGCATTGTTTCCGTAGTCTGCGTCCCAGGAAGAGGAAAACGAGACCAATGGTACAGCTTGAGCAGGGATCAGACTTGTTGTTGGTTCCAAGATCTGGAAGAGACTCTGATCCAGTTAACAGTTTCGGGAACGCTCAAAGGCTCAGGCAAAAATACTCCAAAGCCCAAATCCCGAGCCTTCTCACATCCCGCCGGCGAAGCTAGCATTGCTTGAAGCCGCCTCTGAGACATGAAGCCCACCAAGTCTGATTCTTCACTTCAAAGCCTAAGGCCAGGCCACACCCAAGCAGGGCTCAGTTTTTTAATTCCCATCTAGCTTCAACCACTTTCTGCCACTGGATCTTGAAAGCCGCGTCTCGCGAGGACTGGCCATATAGATTGCAGCCCGGATCCTGACCAAAGAATGAGTTTAGAGCTTGAGCATGCTGGTTTTAGGCATTGTGCTTGCACTGGTTGAAGCGCGTGTGGAGTTGCTGCTTGAGGTCAGAACAAGACGGGCCTGATGATGGTTTTCCAACAACTGGGAGACCTCCCAATGCCCAAGGAGAACTCGAAGCGAGTCCAGGGCCAGGGGCTTCAGGTCTTCATCCGACTTCATGCCATTTCAGGCTTGCAGCTCCGAGCTCGAAGCCCTGCAGAGCTGAACCGCCGTCAATCTGTATCCGAAATTTATTCGCGGGACAAACAGTTTCGTGATCTAAACCCTCAGGGTTGGATCTTCGTCGAAAGCAGCGTTAAAGTGCCTTGTGACTGCAGGACGAGTGGTACACCCGAGTCTTTCGGAACTTTGCCGGAAATGACAAGGACGTTTAGTTGACTCCCAGCTGCCAGCTGGCACGCAGCCGAGTGAAGTTTCGGATTCAAGGATTCTGACCTTTCGGTTGTTTGGAAATTCGGATCCAGGCCTCAGATAGCTCAAAGATGGAATCTTTCGAGCGAAATACGAGTCGTGTGTTGTAGGAGTTCGTGTGGTTCTGACCCAGCACCCAGCAACTAGAAGCGACTGCCTCGACCCCTGTGCTCTGCCAGGACTTGATTGATTATAGATGTTTCAAAGAAATTGTCAAGCAGTGGGATGAGCCCGGACCCAAGATGTCTCAACACGGAGGTCGCACGATGATTTGTTCATGGTGTACCGTTGGACCATAGCAGCCTGAATGGCTGGTACGGCATCCCTTTGTTGTCCTTTCTACATGTCGGCTCCCAAATGAATTCAAGGGACTTCCAGGTGTCATCCGGTGTTGAAGGTTAGACGGTTACAGTAGACTCTAGTTGTTGGGGAAGTGACCTGCAGCACGTCGGGTTCCAGTCGTGCAGCGTCAGAGTGATCCGGAATCAGTTTGCTTTCATGTCTCAGGAGGGTGGAATTTGATTGCACCCTCCTGCAAAAGATGTGGTCGGTTCGGCTATGGTTCGGCTTGCCTCGCACACATCTCCTTTGCCAACAAATTGAGTGGTCCTGCCGGAAGCTGAGCCTTCTGGCACCTCCGCGCCCAAGTGTGCTTGTTCGGCACGTGCTCCTGTTCTCTGTTTCGCGAGTTTTCATGTGCGTGTGTGTGTGTGTGCGCGCGTGCGTGAGGCAGTGGCGGTTCGTGCGATTCCCGACAGGTGGCTGCTGTAATCATACTGTCCACCCGTAGCATGCTCGCTGCTCCTCCTGGTGCTGAAACATGGTTTGCCCCGTGCACAGACGCAAGGCTTGTCCTCACATGACTGGACAGAGCTTGGCCAGAAGATTCTAGTCTCTTCTTCCCCTGAACTGAGATTACTCCAAATGCAAGGGGTTTGCGAGATCTTGCAAAGGTCTGATGTGAGGATAGGGAGTCATAAGGGTAACAGGAGGTAAGGGACCTTTACTTTGCATTTGCAGAGCCCGTTCTCGCACGGTTGCGATGACATGTACAATCTGCATTGATTGATTCGTGTTGCCTACCCATAAATCATAAAATGCCATTCCAAGTACGCTGCCCTTGCCAAGGCACCACCAGAAAAAGCGAGAAAAGCATCATCAGCAAAAGGAGCAGCAGCAGCAGCAGACACCACAGCAGCAGCAGCAGCAGCAGCAACAACTGCAGCAGCAGCAGCAACAGCTGCAACAACAGATCCAGCAGCAGCAGCTTCAGCAGCTGCAACTGCAGCAGCAACAACAACAGCAACAGCTACAACAGCAGCAGCATCTGCAGCAGCAACCTCAGCAGCAGCAGCAACCTCCACAACCATCGCCGGAGCAGAAGCAAGAGATTTTGCCGAACTCCGGCCGGGACAGCCAGAAGTCTGCAGAAGGGACGCGTCTTGGCCGCAATTCTGGTTGTTGCATGATGTGAGGGTTTGCCAATGTTGCACATGAAGCAGCACCATGCATTGATGTAACAGAGTACCAGTGATGTAATTGCTTCCTCTAAAACTTCTAACGTCTAGCTTGACTCTGAATCTTAGACGAGAGCTTGCAATGTGTGTTGAAGCCAAGTGCTCCATCCAAGAAGGCCCTCTACTGATTCATGTCAGCAGGTTGGCGCGCACTCTCAAGCATTTGGCTACGTAAAATTACCACCCTGGCCCTGACATGCCTGAAAACCCAGCCCCCCTAAGAGTCAGGGGAGGCCTTGCCCAGTT